CAGATTTCAATTAGTATTTGTTAAAGTAAAAATACTAGGCGGCTTTGTGCTTTATTTTCAACTGAAGCATTACTGATAGTAACGTTGCCAAAAGTTACTATTGTTATTGATAACAGCAATAGTATTATTTTTAGTAGTAGTTGTAGTGATAGTAGCAGTAGTAACAGATGCAAAGTATTTAATTTATAGTTAATGTCGTGGTATTAGTAGTGGCAGCGGTAGTAATAGTAGTAGCACTAGTAAGTAAACTAGTGGTAATGTTATGAGTAGTAGATGTAATAACAGCTGCTGAGGTCGACGTAGTAGTAGTAGTAGTAGTAGTAGTAGTAGTAGTAGTAGTAGTAGTAGTAGTAGTAGTAGTAGTAGTAGTAGTAGTCGTAGTAGTAGTAGTAGTAGTAGTAAGAGCAGTAACAATTGTAGCAGTACTACCCAAGTCTATTATCATTTACTCCCAGAAGTGATTATGACATAATTTGACTGTTTCATAGGATATTACTCGAGCTTAAAGGTTCCTCGTAAAAACTGTCCTGACAGTCTTTTTGCTGCATTTTTATGATTCTGTGCACGCTCGTGTGAATATTGATGTGTTCGTGAATGTGTGTATGTGTTTCGTATGTGAATATTGATGTGTTCGTGAATGTGTTTATGTGTTTCGTATGTGTATGTGTGTTTGCATGTGTAGTGCTGTGCGTCTGTGTGTGGGTGATTTCGTGTATATGTGAGTTTGTTTGTGTGTGTGACGATGACATGCGTTTGGGTGTGATGACGTATGCGTGTGTGTGTAGCGATGCGCACGTGTGTGTCTGATGTGAGTGAAGATGTATGTTTGCGCGTAGTGTGTTTGATTGTGTATTTGTGGGTGTTCGTGTGTCCGTTATGGTGTGTTCGCTTACGTGTGCTTTTATTGGTAGTTTATGTGCATTTTTATCTTAGGTACGCCCGCGTGAGTATGAGGAAAGGACTGTTCATAGCTTGATGTGTGCGTGTACTGCCTGCATGATTGCGTCCTATTTGTATGACAATCGTCATTGTGCGTTCGTACCTTCATGCTCGTTTGAATGTGCGCGTTGCTCACATCAGCGATGTTGTTGTTTGCTGCTGATTTCTTATGAAAATGTACGTGATGGATTGTTCGGATGAAGAGACCACCTCCTCCTCCACATCCAGCAAACTTCGATGAATAATTTATTTGCTGGATTGGTTTGATTTGTGTTGCTGTGATGATTTTGCCTACATTCAATTCCTCTTCACTTTACTACAACCCACCACCATCAACATTACTCTTTTTAGCACGGCCCCATCTATGTGACTATAAGCTACCTCATGCAAATTTATCTGACTCAATTAATTAATTGTTTTCTGTTAATTAATTATGGAATTTTAAATTAACATTAAATATTGCAAATTTGTTAAATATTATTTTCACTGAATGCATGCATTGTATAGAATTAGTAATTGTTATTGTGAATTAATGAATGCCATGTTCTGAATGGAGACGGTTGAAACAGCTGAGACACCCACCCCACCCCACCAAGGAAGAACAGACACGCAACAAAAATTTATCACAGTTATTATTTTCTATCGAAAACATTTTAAAAAATGTTTTCTTCAAATTAATTTTTAAACGTGAATGAGGAAAACAACATTTACATGGAAATCGACTTGAAAAATAGTCTCATCACGAAAGAAGAATTACATAAACAAGAATGAATAGCGCGGGAATATAACGGATGGTCTGGAGGTGAGGAAGGCGACCAATGGACCAATGGACCGAGCGGATAAGCAATCATTCATACTTCCACGCTTTCAAATATCTATCAGCTATTTATGCATTTAATTTTATTTCATTATTACGTGAAATGTTGTCTGCTGTTGATTTCTCATCTCATTAAATAAATAGGTATTGTATTAAAGCACAATAGCTTTTTTTTTGTTTTAAAGCACAATACGTTTTTATACAAACACACACACACACTAAATCACACACACTCACTCACACACACACACACACACAACTATTTTAGTATTTATGCTGCATTTAATTTTAACAGGGCACAGCTATTTTAGTAACAAACAATTCGAATGAAAAATTGACAATTGCGAAGGAGTAATAACATCTAGAGTCTATTTGTATGAATGTAGCCACATTTTTAATACCATATGCGAATTTGAATATCAAGTACATAAATAGGTTTTGTTTTAACACACAATAAGTTTTTTATACACACTTACCTACACACACACACACACACACACACACACACACACACACACACACACACACACACATACACTCTCTTTTTTACTTTCTCTATCTTATTTCTCTCTTTCTTTCTCTTTCTCTCTCTTACACACACACACACACACACACACACAGTTGTTTAAGAAAATATATTTGGAGTCTTTTAAAATAAAAATGAAGATGAACACACATTAAATGTGCGGCATTGTTTTTATGGTAGATTGATTGACTGATGGATGGATAATGGACTGATGGATGGATTGATGGATGAACTGACTGATTGATAGGTTGATTGATGATTGACTAAAAGAGAGATGGATGGAGTAATGGATTATTTTCAATATTTTTTTTTTCATACTTTCATCAAAAGCGAAGATGATGACGCGTAAGGAGTGCCTTCATGTGGAAACATTTCTTCTTTTCTTCGGTCCAGGAATTTTTTAGATTTTTCAAAAAATCCAAAATTAATTCTTATTTTAAGTCAAACATTTCTGTTTGCGTTTATGTACAAAAACGCGTGCGCGTGTTCCTACTCGGTGGATGATTATTTCAAAGTTCATTCTGCAAATTATGCGAACTTGCTTTCAGAAAAATTATTACCGACCGAGACAATTATTTATCCTCGGAAAATTTTCAGAAGAAAAAAGTTAATTCTTTCGAGTGAATATTTTCGAGCGATATTTAATTTTTCATGTTCTTGTGTTCTACGAAAAATAATTTGCAAAATATAAACTGCCTGCAGCAAAATAAGAATAGATTGTAATTGCTGTAGTTGCGTATGAGCTGGATGCTATTGATGTGTATTGAGAATATCTGAGTGCAAAAAATTTCAAACAATTCTATTGAAAATGAATCCTATTTCATTTAACTCTCCCTTCTTCTCTGTCTTTCTCTTTTTTTCTCTTCTTCTTTTTTTCTCCATTCACTAATTATATCTCCAAATCTTCTTTTCATTTGTTCGAGTGCACACAGGTTTGTGTTTATGCATTTATATAGTTTTGGTTCAACTTTTTCTTACAAAGATTTTCGTGCAAATATCAGGGGGCTTCTCACAACACATGAGCGTTATGTAGTGGTTGTGAATGCGTTTGAAGTTGCGAAATGTTATAAGGTGGCAAGCCTAGCTTATCATTGGCCTCTGCAATGTACGTTCAATATATCATGTATAATATTAAATTTGTTGTCAGGCAAAACACGCATTGTACATTGAAAAGATGTTATAATATTACGGATAAAATTTTAACTGGGTTTGTAAGTATGTTGTAGAGATTAAGACAGGTATCAAGCGTTTGTGGTAATAAAATTGACGATAAAAGACGTGTCCAGCGCCACAAAAATGTACAGAGCATCGTAGGAAGGATGAAGAGAGAGAAAGAAACGAAGAGCAAACTTAATTTTGCACTCATCAACTGCACTCATCAGGCAGACACATCATTTAAATGCCTGACGAAGGCACGAATACAGGCGCGCAAACTTAATCGTGAGTGAATTGTTTTTGTTGCTGCCCTGGCTCAACACTGGCTCATCGATCCAGACGAGATCTAAGCCAGTTTGCAACCGCTACCGGTTACTCCAGAGATACGCTATACTGAATGATGTAGGATTACTGGGGCAGGAGAATAAATGAGGCCTATTGTATTGCCTAATGAGCTTGGCAGAGGAGAAAAATGCTGTTGATGTCATCGTCAATTCGTGATTTGAAGCTATTGAGGAGGATGCTGTGGCCAGAACCGAGCTGGGCTAGCGTCCGCCTGGTTGCTCTGGGTAGTGTTGATCCTGTTTCGTCTATTGGTGGAGTGTCTCTGGGGCATCAACCTTCCCGTGGTGGAGCCGATTGGGACGGAGTTCATACAACCTACTACCCATCATCCCAACAAACTGTTGCAACAAACCCTCCTTGCCAAGCGACCGCATCGGGTTTTCGCCAATAAGGAGTATTTGCCTTTTTTAATAAATTAGTAATTTATTTATTTGCATGCTATAAATTCATTTGTATACAATTAATACAATTAATAAATTGTATACACTCTTAGAACATGGCACCGCCTGTCAAAACACTTTCTACGACGAAAAGAAACATAAGCTAGCAAAACGGTAAAAAATTCGTTGAACGATAACTTGAGCGAAAAAACGTTATTTTTGCTTGGAAAATTCCTTAACCGGTCACCATAAATCAAATTCAGTTGAGGTTTGGGGTGATTGTAATTGATGCTGATAGATTTCATGCTGAAGTAATTGATCAGGGTTTGCTGGCTGGTAGATAGCAGGTAGGTTGCACATCTTCGTCGTCGCTATCATCGTCGTCATTCATTAAAACGATAAATACTTTTGTTCCATACAACAAGAAAACACGCACACAACGTTGGAGAGACAACGTTCATTAATGTACGTCAACACGAACAAAGTCAAAACTCTGGAGCGACTAGAAGTGCACACACACAAAACATTTCCATTAGCACGCACATACATAGGTGCGTGCTTGTGAATGGGTATGCAAATGTACGCGCTGAATAGGCGTTTCAAGTTCAATGTCATTTGTTTGGCGCCGTTTTAATCACACGGTATGTGACGCGAAGACTGGCTTGCATAATGAGAACGAATTCGTACGTGCCCACAACTGGACGCCATTTCTGATGACTTCTGACGAAGTTGCGGCATCCAACGTATCAGAATTATTGTGCACGATATTTCTACTTACTTTAAATCTCTTCCGGACTTTTGCGAAAAATGTAAATAGATGCAAAATAATACAACAAAATGCGAAATTTAGACGACAATTTATTATATGAAAAAAAAATATTAGAAAAAAAAACAAATAAAAAAGTTATCCCCCTTTGTTGTTGCCACTTTTGTTTCCTTTATTGATGTTATTGTTGTCAAATTTGGTTGCACAGTCGTTGTTTTTGTCCGTATATTGGCTTTTCAATTCTTCTTGAAGTTTGTCCAGAATATTTTTATTTAATAATCCGTATTTTATTAACTGGTCTGAAATTTTTTGGCCGGGTTTAGCGCTTAAATTTTTTAAAGCAGATGCTAATTTTTTGTCAAACTCCGATTTTTCAGCTTTCGCATTTTGAAATCTAGATGATAGCGACTGCGGAAGTTGGTTTATGGTGCTATCTTGCTCTTGTTCCGACAGGAGAGTTGATATTGGAAAGTTAGTCTTGCTTGACGATCTGTTATGTCAAACAATTTTATCTATTCTTACATAACACCACATCATTCGAGAAATGTTTTTTTGATTAACTACGGTTCAAATAGTTTAAAAGTCTAAAACAAATTTTCAACCTTCTGTTAATTTTACTGGCGATTTCAAACTCATCTTCATTGTCAGCCACGCTGCTTTCAGTGCCTTCGAGCAACCTGACTATGTTGACGATGCCCGCTTGGATGACCTGGTCCAGTTCCTTCTGCATGTCACGCACCTGCTCCACATCTGGAAACATGTTCGGAAACCGGTAGCTGTCGTCGAAATATGTCAACGTTAGCCTCTAATGTTAACAACAAAAATGAGAAATAAGAACATAATTGAAACGTCGAATGAGTTTTGTTGGATTTTTATTACATTTGCTAAGTGCATATACGTTAGTCAGCAAAATTGAATTAATCATAAAAGTAAATGCAACAGGAATTACTCTGCACGGGTGCTTAGTTAAGAAAAGAAATTGCCCTTAAATTGATTGTAATGCCCATAAAATTAAAACTTTGAAAAATATTAAGGTTCACTAACATTTTATAAAGCAACTGCAAAGATTTGAAATAAGCAACAATAAAAAATATAAAACAAGGGACAAAGCACCTGAGCCACAAATATAGGTCAAGAACATCGAAGACTCCTTCGAGATGAACCAGGTCCATAATTGTCTGAGGGGGTCTGAAGGGCCAACCGACCTGCCTGCAGAGCCACTCCATCGTCAGACCCATGCCCTTACTGAACTGCCGAGCAAACTGCATCGAAAAAAATTATCCAATAAGGAAATGTTCACGGAAAAATTATTTATAACAAATAATGAACTAACTTGACATCATTCATATTTATTTTTGGAAAATATCAGACTCAAACATAATAATAAAACACATAACAAAAAATATAAATTAGAACAAAATCATAAGACACATGAGAAAGAATATGAATTAAAACAAACAAATAAAACACATAAGAAAAAATATGAATAAAAAAAATTATCAACAAAAATAATTAGATGAAGACAGACAGACGGACGGACGGACCTTGAGGAAGACAGAGCAGACGAACGGTTGTTTCTTTGGTATGGGAGCACAACAGAAGACGTAACGAGTCCTCAGGTCGAGTGGGACGTGTTCAATCATGTCAGCCAGGAATTTGAAGTCATCGACGTTGCACATGAAGTACTTGTCGTTGTCCACTTGGCACAGCTTCACGAATATGTCCTGAGGATCGTGTTGTTTGACGCTGAAATGATGTTCTTGCTAATATTCTATTAGCGTAATTTTTAGCAGTAGCTAAAGTTGAGATCAAAGACGTGGTGAGATTTGAAACGATGATGAGATGATGGTTGGGTGGCGTGCTACTGTAATGGTTACGCAATGTGCACGATGAGTTGGTCTACACGTGTTCACAACGTTATGTGTGCATTGTTGACATCTAGTTGATGACGAATAAACGACCAATCATGATTATAATGGAAATGATGACGTTAATAAAGAAGATGACGACGGCATGTGTGGCAAGGACGATGATGATAACATGCATGTGAAGGTAAAGGTAACTAACTATTAGGTTTGATAAGGTAGCTTTGGGCAGATGGAAGGCAAACAATTCGATCTGTTCAGCTGTCGGATGAAGACCTGCTTGCTGTTTATTGTAAGTACATTGTATTTAATACAAAACTTTATAAGCTCATGCTGACAACACTACTAATCAATCGTATGCATGTTTGTATGCATGATCAGTTTCATGTACGTTTTTATTAATGATGCACCAAATAGTGAATTAGGCTAAAGGGCCGATATTGAGTCCGTCACAAAATTACAATTTTTTTTCAAGAATTGAAATATTGCTATTGATTAATTATGCTTCATAATACCTGTATGGGTTCAACAGCTGAATTGAGAAGCCTCTTAAGTATTGGGAGGTCCTGCGATTTGAACGTCGTCACCTCTCCTTCTGAGAACTCAGTGGAGAATCTTTCAACAATGATTGGAAAGAGTGAGTGAGTGAGTGAGTGAGTGAGTGAGTGAGTGAGTGAGTGAGTGAGTGAGTGAGTGAGTGAGAAGAAAGAGGAAGAACCTTCCAGCCCTTCCAGCAATTTGTAGTGCAGTCGTTGTGGGGATGATGTCTATTTCCTTCTCTCCATCGGAGTTCAATGACGGCTTCATCAGAGAATAGAAAACAACTCTTTTGATGTTTCTTAAAATTAATAAATTTTAACAACTTCGAAACAAAACAAAATTATTAAAAATTTAATAAGTGACCATTATTGCAAAACTCGAAATAAGCGTACACACGTTTTGATGCAAGCAACGGAAACATTTGAAGGGAACTTTCCAGTTTAATAAAACACAGAATACAAATAAATTGATATTGTCTGCTAGGGCTGATAAATTGGAGGTGAGTAGTGAACGTAAGAGTGAGAAATAACATAACAAATGCAAATAATCAAGTTGCTCACAAAATGGCAACAAACATAAATAAAAAAGACAAAAAAAAATGTCGAAAATTTAAAAAGACTGGATGGAGTATGACGTTCCGATATAAAAGGGAGAACTAACAGGTTGAGTCCCATGCCTATGGCGTCGGTGGCAACCATCACCTTGCACCTGTTGTTTGGGTCATTGAACTTTTCCGCTTGAGCTATTTTCGTGCCTGAGTTCGACATGAGGAAATGGAATTTGTGGAATGTTTTTAAATGGGGCAAAAATAAAAAAATTCAAAACCTGGCAGTCGACAACAGGCAATCATCACTATGCAAATTCGCTTGCAACACCAACCACACATCAACAAGATAACAACAACATCAAATGCAACGACGAAAGCAACAAAAGCAGCAGCAACAACAATAAGACACAGCAACCCCAGCAAGAAACTCACCAGGGGGAAGAGTGCCATATATGACCGCCACTTCGACACCCCTCTTCTCCAACTGCTTGCTGACGTTGTAGATGTCATTCTTGCCAAAACAAACAATGCAGTCGCCGGGTTTCACTCTGTCAAAGTTATCTGTTTGCCAGTTTGCAATCAATGTTCACATTCTTAGAACAGAGCAGAAAAAGAATAAAAATCCTTGAAGACTGAAAACTTTTACAAAAAGTATGACAAACTCAAAACAACGAAATAAAAAATTAACTTAGAAATCAGTGACAGATTCAACTATGAAATTAAAGAACAATGACAACTGTTCTAACCAACACCCCTAGAAGCAATCTTGAGGTTAGTGAGCCTCTTGTACCGGCGCACCTCGAAGACGTCCCCCGTGACCACGGACAACTCCTTGATGAGGTTGATGCCCGACTCCTCACCACACACGTGCACCTCATCGGCACAGGTACCTAATTATACCGGTTGTTTGGTGGCAGATGATTGCCGAGGGGGTTTTGTTGGGGTTGGTATTTAGAAATGTAGTAATCAAATTTTGATGTTGTTAAAGAAATAATTGCAGCATTAAGATTAAATGCAACTGTCACTTGTTTTTCTATCACCCATTACTGTTATTATTTTGAGATTTGGACAAAATAATTTCAAAGCAGCTCAAAGAAAATTATAAAGAGCAGAAACAAGAAGGGGAAAAGTAACTGACCGAGGAAAGCTCTTGTCCAGGCCCATCCCCTCTGCAGGTCCCTCACCATCTGAATCTCGTCAATCACCGCAACCTCATCTGTTCAACGGCATTTTCATTTATAAATTATTTCGTGCCAGATAAACCTCTTGAACTTCTACAATCCTTTCATAAAACATTAAAACATAATATCTCTTACAAAAACAGGTATTTATACCATTTTTTAATTTCAGAAGGCACATGTACATATATAAAACCTCACTCCAAATTACATATATAAGTTTAACGTTTTAAGAGAAGCTATAAGGCTCAATTACAATCTGACCACAAATCTTTAAAAATCAAATTTAAAAAGGATCTGGCGTTGAAAAAAAGGAGCATCTTAATTGAAACTAACACTTGACAGCAATGTTGGTCATCTCGACGGTACATGCCACGTGACTTGATGGCTCCCCACCCTCTGACATGTACCTCCTCTCTTCACCAGTAACAAGATCACACTGGTGGCCCTATGTAGTGTGCGTGTGCGTGCGTGTGTGTGTGCGTGTGTGTGTGTGCGTGTGGTGCAAGACAGTGTTGACCATGTACAATAAATTAAACGTTTGTTATGCAGGTGTGTATTAGATACACTCATGATGATAAATAATAGAACAATATTTGAGTTAAACGCAAAAATAAGATAATTTTAAAAATTCAAATAATTAGGTTCAAAACAATCTCAAACACAAACACGCACACACACACACAAACAAACAACATTAGCATCAGATATCAAAAGCAACAACATATGACATATATGTGAAAACAAACATCCATTATACAGACCAGACAAAAACTTACAGCAATACAACAACAACAACAACACAACAACAACAACACAACAACAAATGTTCACACAAACAACATCCCAACAACAGAACATCACAAACGGCGGCATTGGTTTTTTTGAAGATTTCGGTTGCAAGCATCCTCAGGGGTCCACAGTACACGCCTGAACTGGCTGACATGAATCTTTTCGGTGGTAAAAAAATTTTTTAATTTGTTTAATATAATTTTATACTTTAACATAATAATTAATCATTTGCTTGTGTGAGTACATATTTTAGCACTACACGAATGTACAAACACGCTTATGCAATCTGTGAAATTTTGTAAAAAAAATAGATAGCAATCTTAAACGTCCACAAAATGATAACATACCCAAATGAAAAGACACACTTGAATACACTCTTAAGAGTGAAACATATATTCAGACACCAACAAGCCCAAAAAAAATATTAAAAAACCTTTCAAGTGCATGATAAGTTTTTCCACTGTTTGTTGGACCGGCGTGATAAATTATTTTCCTCTGTTTCGATCGTGCCTCTGGGTACCTACCAACCAATCATTCACTCAGATTTCAATCATTCACTTAGATTTCAATCATATATTTAGATTTCAATCACAATGTATCAATATATATATATATATTATTTTAACATATTCAGATTTGTGTCTATATAACTTGTATTTTGGTTTGGTTTAGATAATTCGAAATTCTGGTTTGCAACGCAACTAACTGAATGACTATTCCCCATAAAATCCTGCTTGCAATAACCAATCAGCCATAGCCAACAACAACCAACCAACCATTAGCCATCAACATCCTCACAAACAACAACCAACCAATCAGTCATCAGCATCTACACAAACCACAACCAACCATACAGAATCCATATCCACTCAACAACAACAACAACAACAACAACCAGCCAACCATCAACATTCACACAAACAACAACCAACCAACAACATCCAACCGACCAATCAGAATCAACATCCACACAAAGAGCAACATCCAACCAACCAATTGGCAGGCTGCCTGAGGTCACTGATTTTCTTGAGGTCTTCCATGCAATCAAGATGTGGATACATTGTCTTTCCATGCCTCAGAAAATATGGGAAGATATCATCAACATGACCTAGTTGCATTTTTCAAGTATTTTGTGAAATTAAAAATAAAATGTTTAATAAAATACAAATCAAAAAATTTATTAGATTCTTTAGTTAAATAGAATTGTAAAAAAATAATTTTATATCCCTTAGCAAATCAAAATTGAGTTGATGAACAAAGCAGGTATAAAACAGAAGAACGATAACGTATAATAAGTAATTTTAAAGTTATCTTGGCAAAACAAATTGCGTGAAATTGTTAACGATAGCAACCATTTATAACATCATAAAATGAAAGCAATTTTTCATGATTAATAATAACAACAATAATAATAATAATAATACTGTACCTACCTGATTTCCTTACAATGTCACTGATGACAATATGCAGATCAGTGGGCAGTCGCTCGGATTCCATGCAGAATCTTCGAAATCCCACGTAGGCCTTGTGGAAGAGATTGCCTAGTGAAGTTAATTTATAAATTTTTCAAGTTTATCCAACATTAAACAAAAAACCATCAGCTATACTTTATATCGCTATTATTAAAATTATGAAAGTCATTTAAAATTATTCAATTAAAAATCAATTTTATCAAATTAATTGTCCAAATATGACGATAAAAAAATAATGACCATCCAGTCCACATTCATCTGCTAATTCCCTCACGGCAGGCCTAGCATAGAATTCATTTAGAACTTTTAACATAGAGTCTGTTGTAAATGTTTTAAAATAATTAAATGAAAAAATAAAAGATTTTATAAGTTTGTTGTAAATTAATTCTATACTTTGAAAATCTAACCAAGTCAAAAACCAACACCAAATTCAATTAGCCACCCACATAGAATTATACATCTTACAACCATAGTACTAACTAACTGATGAATGTTATGTACATTGTAATATGTACTGTAATCATAATGTTATATGTAAAATACTGTACATAGTGCATACATTGTCTTTGTGTTACTACAAATTAGATTATCATTTGCAACACCTTTTTAAACCAACTTATTTATTAATTATTTATATCGTAATTGTAATAAATAAACAGATGACCAGCATCCAGAACAAAAGAAGAAACCTTTTGAAATTTTGCCAGACAATTCTTCCCCAATATTTATGCCATCAATGTCGTTGTATGGTTTGATGACAACCGGTTGAATTAATGAATCTAGTGATTTGACATCTTTGTTGTGTGTATTCGGCGCGCCTTTTTTTGTTCTGCTGTCATCAGAGGAGGAACTAAACAGAAGACAAGTCACAGAACATGAGCAGGGTGAAAATTTAAATTTAAACGAATTACTAGAAACCTTTAAAAAATTTAAATTTTTAAAAACATTAATGCTTTGACTATGAAGACATGACTTTTTCAAAATTATTAAGTTACACGAAGCTACTGAATTGCGAATCGTTAACGCTTTGTTTATATTCAAAAGATTGAATGACATTTTTAAAACTTAAGAAAAAATTTGTTTACAACGCTTGTTAAGCTAGCCCCGGAATAATTTTTAACAAAACTGTATTGCTCCAGCGCATAGGAATCCAGCCATATACTTTTTATTTCTCAAGCTCCAGCTCTTCATCTTTCATAACTTTTAATCCGGTTAATCATAGTTTTTTTAGAACTGTTATCATTTTTTACAATTATTTATTTTATTTAATATAGTTAAAATTATTTGTCTACCTTGGTTAGCTGAACACCGGGGAAACGACCTGTTAGAATAAAAACTTAAAATACATTTTTATTTTATAAAATATTCTATAGAATATTCTAAGTACATGAATACTTTGATCAGAAACTGATTGCTGGCTTGATTGAATGAATTTTAACTTCACTTTTAGTATTTATGTATTGAATTCACTTTCATAACAATAGCAAAGTTAAGTTTGTCAAGTTTGTTTTTAAGAAGCAATAGAACATATATATAGAATATATGTATTCTATATATATGCAATAGAATAAGAAGAGGTTAGTTTGTTTTGTAGGATTTGATTTTTTTTAGTTCGTTCTAATTTTTTTTAATGTCGAAAGTGGTCTGTAAATGTTACCAACTACTTAACTATAATTTTTAATTTAATTAACTATTTCAATTTCAACTAAATAAAACTAAAATTAGTAAAAAAAAAGTAAATTACCTTGTGGGTGTATGTAAGTAATGGTTGTTTAAAATTAAAATTGCACATGCAGTGTAGTAAGTTAGTTGTAGTGCACTTTTCCTATTAGACTAGTACTAGTCTTTTACAAAATGATATTTATATTTAATAACTTTTACAATATATCTTATTACTTTTACAATATAATTTGTATTTTACATTTTATAATTAGAAAAATTAGCTAACCAACGTTAAGCTAACTAAGGACTAAGCTAACATCAATTCTGCAATTGATTATTTTTTTTTCAATTGAAAATTTTATTTTAATAGTTTAATATTGCTTTGAATAAAACATAATAAAATATCTTCAAAAAAAAAAATAAAAAATTATCAATATGGAATCTTTCTACTCATTTTTGTGAAAATATCTCTTCACTGTTGTTATTATTATTATTATTATTATTATTATTATTATTATTATTATTATTATTATTATTATTATTATTATTATTGTTGTTGTTGTTATTATTATATTTGATAAACACAAAGTGTTTTAGTTAATTTAAAGCTAATGTTAGTATTTGTTAAATTACATTATTATTACAACAAAGTTTGTTGAATTCTTGGAGCACTATGTCAGCACATCATTAACACTTAACATGGAATATTTATTCTGCTTTATTAAAATTTGATTTTCCATTTATTGACAGTGTTTCAAGATAACAACTTCAACTGCTGCAAAATCTTCAAAAACTTCAACCAAAACAGCCCACCAAAAATGACATCAACTCCTGTGACAGCAGTTGTGGTTGGAGCTGGTTCCAGGGGGTTTGCTTACTCCAAATATGCTTTAGATAATCCTGACAAATTTAAAGTAATTTCTTTTGTGATGTTTTGTAAAGGCAGACCATGCTTTGTAAATGAAAAATACATACATACATCATGATGGTGCAATCACATTTTCACACTTGATTTGATTTCTTGAAGATTGTTGGTGTAGCTGAGCCAAGAAAATTTCAAAGAGAAAAATTGGCATCAGATCATAACCTTTGTAAAGAGAAAGTGTTTTCAAGTAGTTTATTTTTTATGTAATCATTGCAAAACTTTTTTATCATTTTCAAATTTTGATGAACTTTCTGATTTATTTAATTATTAATTTGTTTTATAGTTTTAAAAATGAGCTTAAAAATGAACGTTTAAAATGTTCAGCATGGGAGGAGGTTGTGAATGTGCCAAAGTTTGCTGACTGTATTCTTGTTACAACAATGGATCAAATGCATAAGGTCTGCTTCCTTATTCTAAAACAATACACTTTCATAAACAAAAAAAAATATATTTTTATAGTCATGTTTATTTTTAAGAAAATTTAAGATAATTAATTTTCAAGTTCATAGGGCACCAATGACAGTGTATCTAATTATATATTTAAAAGTTGTCCCTTCCATGTGCCTTTTATCATCATTTTTGCATCAGTAAAAACTAACACATGCACACACTCACGCATTAATTGAAAAAGAATCTTTTTTCCATCAATGGTGATTAGAAATTATCCAATTACATCAGATGTGTGTGGTCAAGTTGATGCTGATTGATTTTGAATAGAGATAGGGATGATTTGTTTTCAGTCCTTTTTTTGTTGTTTCAGGACCCAGCAGTGGCGTTTGCAAAGAAAGGTTATCATATCTACCTGGAGAAGCCCATGGCGGTTGGTTGGTTTGTTTATTTATTTGTTAAACATTAAAAATAATTTTTAAATTCTCTCATCTCAATTGTTTTAATTAGTAGCAACTGTTATAAATAGATGGATATGATGATTACTTATCTATGATCTATGATCAACTTTCACTGACTCCTTTACTTTTAACTACTAAATAAAACTATTTAATTACTTTTATTTTGAAATTTTTTTCAACAATCCACATCAAGACAACCTATGCAGATTGTGCCTGCATTGTTGAGACGTGCAAACGGAACAACGTCATGTTGGCGGTCGGTCACGTGCTCAGGTACGATAGCCACGCCCAGACCATCAGAGACATAATAAGGTCAGGCGAAATAGGTCAAGTTGTGAATATTCAACACTTGGAACCGGTGAGTAATTTCGTGTTGGTTTTATTGTTATTCAGTTTGACAGCTAAGTGTCTTATTATTTGTTTCTGTTAAATTAGTTGATCCAGTTGAACTTGATGAGTGTTGTAAAAATTGTATTATATTTTTCACAAAGATTGGATTTTGGCATTTTGCCCATTCATTCGTTCGAGGAAACTGGGGAAACAGTGAGAAAAGTACATTCTTGTTGCTGGCAAAGTGTTGTCATGATCTTGATCTCATTCAGATGTGGTTGGGTGAGAAAGATGAATGCCTCTCTATCTCTTCATTTGGCTCTCTGGTGCATTTCACTAAAAAAAACCAAGTAATCCTCTCTTTCTAATGCATGCTTAGTTACATAACGTCTGCCTCTTTAATCACTTAATATATCGCCTGTTAAGTTTGTGATGTGAAAATTAATCTACACGCCAGCCTGATGGAGCGTCGGATCGATGTTTGGATTGCAAAGTTGAGAGTCAGTGTGCATATTCTGCGAAGAAACTTTACTTGGGTCTTCTCGAGAAGGTGGGGTGGGTCTTACTTACTTGCGTGTGGGTGGATGGATGGGTGGATGCAGTTGAATGTGAGGGCAATCAAGAAATGGGATATTTAGAATGAATGTTTTTGAACAGGGACACACAGGTTGGCCAGTTAGTGTAGTGGCGGATGTGCCTGATGTTGAAAATGTACTTGAGAGTTTGAGGGTTGGTCCGTATGGCAGGTGTGTTTATGCATGCGACAATGATGTCTGCGACAATGAGGTGAGTTTCAACTGAACTTTTTTTTACAGTTGTTGGTTATTCATGGACATATTTTGCTGATTTCGATCAAGAAACTGCTTTTAAATTATGTTCAAAAAATTTTGATAAATCTAGCGGAACATAATTAACGAACAAAAACCATCAGGTTGTTATAATGAATTACAAAAGTGGAGCGACAGTTTCACTGACGACGGTTGCATTCACTGAGGAGGTCTGTTCCCGCCACACCACCATCTGTGGCACCAAGGTACCAGCACCCCATCACTTAACTACTCTTCAGTTCTTTTGCTACTTATTTCATAACTTTATTTTTCACATATTTTTCCCTTTATTTAATTTCGTGTTGTTCACTATCATTTTTTATTTTTATCTACTATTTCTTTATTTTGAACAGGGGGAAATAACGTGTGTCTTCTACCAGCCTGATATAAAAGTCTTCAATTTTCTTACAAAAACTAAAAGTA